AGACCATATATTTTAACATTTTCTATAAATTATCACATATCTCATAAAAAGTGAAGGAAATAGCCAATATAGTCCAAATCTGGCAAGTTGCAATATTTATATCATATTTATTTACATCCAATACGAAATGGACAATATTGGCCCATTCTTTCGGAACTTACTCCATAGAGGGTCAACAATTTGAATAATCAAAACAGTAGTCATAATAGATTTAGATAATCGAACATTGATTGAGGGTATACATCTGTCGGCAAAATCGATTGATACTTTTTAACTTGTTTTTTATTCCAAAAGTCTGCCAACAAGATTATATTCTTATAAAGTCCACAATAACGTTTTTTGTTATTCAATAAATAATTTTGTAGTAGAATTGTTAAGTTGACATCACTGCCAAAAAAATACAACTGTGTGATGAACCTACTGAGTAGATTAAGATCAATGCGTGTGTAAATGTAATAGATAGCAAAAGAGCGGAAAGACGCCATTTTTGCAATTCCATTTCAGTTTTTTTATAGACAGTGCTAAGTTAATAAACACAGCTGTCAGCCATCTCCTCTAAGTACATATATTTTTGTGAAAAGTGATGATGAATTATTCTTCAAGATTCATTTGTGGAATATGTAAATGTTTTGATTTCATCATAACTGAGAATAAACAAAATAACATGGTATTCCCCCTCCACTCAAAACAACAAGCAACCAAACAACACACCAACAAACATCAGCAATGCCATTTCCTTGCAAAAGCAACAGCCACAACAATCATTCGCTACCACACACACACATATTCTCAAGTGTGGACGTCTGGTAAACACCCAAGAGTATCCATCCCTCTTCCCCCATGAGCTATATCATCTACTTGAATGTAGTTCATAGAATAACAAACGTTTGTACAACTTCCACTGAGACTATACAAAATAAACATATCCCGGAGGATAATGGATGGATGGACATATCAAGCACATACACAAACTTATTCATGCACACACAAGATGATAAACAAAAAACACATGCTGAACTACATATCTTCATTGGACATGTGAAGAAGATATTCTTGGCATGAAGCTGTTTCGAAAGGGAGAATCCGAATGACCATCTCCCCAACACAACAACACAGAATCACTTAACAGGTTTAAATGAAGTTATCGCAAGGAACCACAGGCTGGTGGTCACGGAATGTAAGTTAATAGACATCCATAGTCTACGAATACTTTCATGTGCACATTCACATGTATATCGAGCAGCATTAAATTATCCACTTACATTTAGGGAGAATCAAAATAAATTCCCATGACATCCCTAGTAATTAATTTTAAATTTTAATATAATTTAAAAATTTAAGAAGGATATTTTTCTTTAAAAAAAAATTTAAAAAGCTGGGCTCAACCGGGATTTGAACCCGGGACCTCTCGCACCCAAAGCGAGAATCATACCCCTAGACCATTGAGCCTCATGCGAGAGTTCACTACTACACACTACAACAACTCAAGAGACAAATCAAATAACACAATGTTTCAACTGTTTTGTGGTCAAAAATCGCCAAATTGAAAACAAGCGTTTTTAGAACACATGGTATTGCAGTTAATCAAACGTAAACGTGAAGTGTTGTAAGGCAACATTTTTCGATTGTTTTACACTCATATGAAAACGTAACTGTTTCTCTTTGTCGATAGACATAAAGATAAGACATTTGAACGAAACTTCATGGGATTGCTCTCTCTAGACGTAACCTAGCATTTATTTAGTTTTAATTAATTTAATGGCTTAACAGAACGAGAGCGAGAGAGCCGTTTAAGATGTTAAACAGGAATGGGTGATTTGGCATGACATCTTTCATTTTTTTTTGTTTTGTTAATTTTCTTCAATGGGCACAGCAGTTGAGGCATAATTTTTGACATTTGGGTTTAATTGAAGAGTTAAAAATTGTTACTTTAAGTAGTAAAAGTAATAAAAGACTTTTATAAGCTGATTTTTTGCAAGCTATTCTGTAGCCGAGGTCAGAAATGTTTGTAGTGTGGGTCACTTTTCTTTTTGTTTTTTTTTTTTTTGCTTTTTTGCATCGAAATAATAATTTTTAGGCATAACAAAGTGTATATATTTTTAATCAGCGTAAGATTTTAAGAGGATGTAGCCCTGTCCGTCCGTCTTTTGCAATTACGCTAGAGTCAAAACGAATAAAGTTAGGAAGCTTAAATTTTGCACAGATCAGTCTTTTGCCTGCAGGCAGGTCAAGTTCGAAGATGGATTATATCGGTCCAAGATATCGCTTAGCCCCATATAAGGGTACCCCCGATATTAGGTAATTTGATTATTGTAGCCAAATTTTTCAATGAAATTGTCTGAAAATCCATATAAGGAGTTCATTCTGAGTAGTTTACCTCCTGGAAGAGTATTGTCTATACAGGTCCACGATGTCGTATATCCCCTATATAACGGTACCTACCGATATTCGGTATTTTGATGATTTTAGGGACATTATTCACGGGAGTTGTTTCAAACTTCGTATTTAGAGTTCGTAGTAAGGACTACAGCCTATGTCAAAAAATTGCTTATGCAGGCCCATGTCTTCGTTTAGCCTCAATCTAACGGTACCTCCCAATTTTCGGTATTTGATGATTTTAGCGACATTATTCACCGGAGTTGTTTCAAATTTCGTATTTAGAGTTCGTAATGGGAACTAAAATCTATGAAATTGTCAAGGTCTATGCAGGTCCAGGTCTTCGTATAGAAACCTTATATCAGTACCTCCCTATATTCTGTATTTTGATGGTTTTAGCGACATTATTCACCGGAATTGTTTCAATTTTCGTATTTAGAGTTCGTAATGGGAACTACAGTCTATGAAATTGTCAAGGTCTATGCAGGTCCAGGTCTTAGTACAGAAACCATATATCAGTACCTCCCTATATTCGGTAATTTTGCAATTTTAGGTACAATATTCACCGAAATTGTTTGATAAAGAAAAGACCGTGTTTGGTGAGTGAAATATGTGAAATCGGCCGTGAATATATATGGGAGCTACATCCAAATCTTAATCGATTTCTAATTAATTTTCCAAATTTATTATTGTAAACAAATTCCTCCACAGATTCTGAATTTCATTGGAATCGAACAAACATATCGTGTTTGGAACATAACATCCATAAAATCGGCCGAAATATATATGTATATGGGAGCTAACCCAAACCTTAACCGATTTTAATATAATTTGGCACATTTATTTTCTGATCAAATCCCGCCATTCATTTCAAATTTCATTAAAAAAGAACATACATATCGTGTTTGGTGCATCAAATAAACAAAATCGGTCGAAAATATATATGGGAGCTATATCTAAATCTGAACCGATTCGAATATACTTTGACAAATATATTTTTGTACCCAATTTAGTCACTCATGCCGAATTTTATTGGAATCGAATATAAATAGCGTGTTTGGTGTAACAAATACACGAAATCGGCTGAAAATCTATGTGGGAGCTATATCCAAATCTGAACTGATTTCAATATAATTTGGCAAATTTATTTTTGTTTCAAATTCCGTTACACATTCCAAATTTGGGGACTGCAATCGGTCAATAGATATGTGTATATAAAATCTAAATTTTTGGGAGGTACCACCGATTTTGATGCTACATCTTCAGTTTCAACTGGAATTACGAAAATTTACATAGCCTATGTTACTTTCAGGCGATGTTGTAGTATACTTGGAAATTCGCAGGAAAATATGTTCAGCGGTTTTCGAGTCTATTAATTATAAACAAAGAAACATTTGCCTCTTTTATAGATATAGATGAATTGAGTCCCAGGTCACTTTATGGTTAAAAGTAAAATTATTTTTTCTCTGTTCTACAATTCGAAATTTTCATTTTAAACATTGAAAATTGGAAGATACCAATAAAATACTGCTTCATTCTATGGGTTCATTGATGTGTCATGACAATTTTGTACGCCAATTAATTTGTGATTGTGAACCCACCTAGTGAACTAATTTTTCTCATTGAAGTTATTGTGACTCACATTATTGCCATCTATTTTGTTTCTGTTATTGTGAATGGAAATGTGATTTGTTTATGCACGCCGACCACATTGCTGCTGTATGTGAACGGACAAAGTACCGTTATGAGGCTCAATGGTCTAGGGGTATGATTCTCGCTTTGGGTGCGAGAGGTCCCGGGTTCAAATCCCGGTTGAGCCCGTTGACCTTTTTGTGTTGTTTCAATATGTTTTTCTGTTTTTTTTTTTCAATGTGAAATAAAAATTGAAAATAAAATAATTTAATAAAAACAATAACAGAAGACTGGTAGTCTTCGTTTTTACGCTAAATCTTAGAAAAAAATTACCTTCTGGAGATGCGGGGCATCGATCCCCGTACCTCTCACATGCTAAGCGAGCGCTCTACCATCTGAGCTACATCCCCGTTGTAGACGTTGCTGCCAAAATAGCTATTCGTACGATGTAAGATTTTTACATAAAATACGTAAACGTTTAATACATGTCCACAAAAATAAACACACACACACACATCTGCCCTGTGTAGATCCCCTTACCATTGCTACCTGAAGAAAACAACCCTTGAAAATGCTTGAGTTCAACGTTTCCAATGTGTGATAAGCCAACACTAGACGACTAAGAGGCATTTTATAATTCTCATATGCGCTTTCGTTTAAACGTACGTACAAATAGTTTCTTAAAACACCGAACTTCGTTCTTGCTTCGGCAGAACATATACTAAAATTGGAACGATACAGAGAAGATTAGCATGGCCCCTGCGCAAGGATGACACGCAAAATCGTGAAGCGTTCCACATTTTTTGTGAAAATTTTCCTTAATTATTAAAAGTTATTTTTATTAATTTTGAATTAATTATTTACTTTATTTAAACTTGATATGTATAATTTAACAATGGATCTAGACCCGAATACAGTCGATGATAAAGATGTCCTTTATATTAAAATTATTTTAAATAGAATAATTTTCAACATTCTCTACACCATTACAATCGACTGTTCTCTGCATTTAATGAAAATATGAACACTAAAACTATAAAATATTGTACTTTCAAATAAATATAACTAAAATCAACGAAGACAAAATAATTAAATAAACAATAAAATTAAATTCGGAGTCAATTCATCTTCCCAGCCAACCGCCAAATCCACCAGAGCTATGGAACGATGTGTGATAACCACCGCCGAAACCGCCAAGTCCATGACCAAATCCATGGCCGAAGCCATGTCCCAAGCCATGACCAAAACCACCGCCAAAGCCGTGATGTTTGAAACCCAACAGCTTAGGTTTGCGGTATTTCACTCCCAAAAATCCGCCATGGGGTCCCTTAAAGGCCACCAGTTTTAATTTGCCACAGGACACGGAAAGGCAGCCCAACAACACAAGTAACACACCAAGACAGCATTTCTAAGGAAATTTTCGAAAAATAATTTTGTTTTTATAATTCCTTTTAATTATCACTTCATTTGTTACTCACTATTAGATTCATTGTTTTTTAATTATTTTTATTTATAACTTTTTTTTGTAGGTTTAACACTTTACTATTGCAATTTGCTAAATTTTTAAATAATTTTACGTTTCTTTTTTTTTTTGGGTTGAAACCTTCGTTATGGCGATCTGGAAAAAAACTAAACCTGCTTCCATATTGCCATGTACTTTTATGTCTTTTCCTTCCATTGATGAGCCCTCCATGCTGATGGGATATGTTGACATTAAAATAAGTGGATGCTGATCAAAAGGTTAGTCGAATTACTTTAGTGCATGCGTACCATTATAGGGATGCCAGTTCTAGAAAGCGACTAATGTTTTTCGGGGGTAAAATATTACTGATAACATGATTTTCCATAAAAAATTATTAACGATAACAAGACTTTAAAAAAATTCCATAAAAAATATTAACGATAGCAAAATTTTTCTGCAGAATATATTTTCGATAACAAGATTTTCTGTAGAATTTACTATTGATAACAAGATTTTTTATAGAAAATATTGTCAATAACAAGATTTTCCACATAAAATATTATCGATAACACGGTTTCCTATAGAAAACATTGGTGATAACAAGATTTTTAATAGAAAATATTGTCGATAACAGGGGATTCTATAAAAAATATTATCGATAGCGACATTTTCTATGTCGATAACAAAATTTTCCATAGAAAACATTGTCAATAACAAGATTTTCCATAGAAAATATTGACGATAACAAGATTTTCGAAAGAAAATATTGTCGATAACAAGGTTTTCTAAAGAAAATATTTTCGATAACAAGGTTTTCTAAAGAAAATATTTTCGATAACCAGATTTTCTAAAGGAAATATTGTCGATAACAAAATTTTCTAAAGAAAACATTTTCGATAACTAGATTTTCTAAAAAAATATTTTCGATAACAAGATTTTCTATAGAAAAAATTGTCAATAACAAGATTTTCTAAAGAAAATGTTGTCGATAACAAGATTTTCTAAAAAAAATGTTGTCGATAACAAGATTTTCTATAGAAAATATTGTCGATAACAAGATTTTCTGTTGAAAACAGTGGCGATAACAAGATTTTCTATAGAAAATATTGTCGATAACGAGATTTTCTATAGAAACTATTGTCGATAACGAGATTTTCTATAGAAAATATTGTTGATAACAAGATTTTCTATAAAAAGATTATTACCGATAACAAGATTTTTTGAAGAAAGTATTATCGATAACAATGTTTGCTTTATAAAATAATGTCGATAACAAAATTCTCCATAGAAAATATTGTCGATAACAAGATTATATATAGAAAATATTGTCGATAACAAGATTATCTATAGAAAATATTGTCGATAACAACATTATCTATAGAAAATATTGTTTAATAACAATACTTTCTATAGAAAAAGTGTCGATAACAAGATTTTCTGTAGAAATTAATTATAATTAATTTCTGGCATTATTTTTGGATATTTTTTCCATTTCCTCCTTCCTTCCATGACAACCCTAACGAGCAATCATTCATTAAACTCTCCAATATTCCATCAAACACACAAGCACCGTAACCACGAACAAAAATCGAAAAATCCGATAAGTAGGTTTAGTTTTTGTCTGTTGTCGTTGTTTGTTGTTGTTGTTTGTCGAATTTAATGGCTCAAATGAAGCGGTTTACATTATGGAAGTCCGAGGTATTTTTGTTTACATTGTTTTTTCTTATTTTCTTTGCCGTCGTCCAGTTTGTGTTGTGTGCCCCTGAAAAAATCCGGTTTTCTTTTTTTGGCGACACAGTCCAAGAGTGTGACACAGACAGACAGATATACAGCGAGGGAGAGTTAGATGCTGTGCGTCCATAAAATTTTGCCAAAAAGAAAAAACTTCAACCAATTTTATCAATTAAAACTTAAAAATCATTGGTGGCGAGTTAGCAGACAAAAATGCACGTGAAATAGATTCAAAAAATAGCTGACAAACTGGAATACATTATTGATTTGAATTCAAAAAATGATTTGCAGCAGCAATCACGATGGACTTGGTGTTTTCCAGATCAACGATGATGAATCAGCATCGATGGTGGTTTTATTTATGCGGATTAGGGCATTTCTTATTAAAGATTATTGACCTCCAAAAAATAGCATTAGCCGGCCATATTTGGAATATGAATTTTAATAGTTTTTTTATTTTACCTTTTGACCTGTTTTTGTCGTAGTAACTGTTGCAGTATTTGGAGTAACTGTTATCGTGCTACAGGTTTGTTTGTAGGGAGTTTTTGGGTTGGAATATGAATAAATATATATTTTCTCGGAAAAAAATTGTCGATAATAGGATTTTCTATAGAAAATATTGTCGATAACAGGATATTCTATAGAAAATAATGTCGATAACAGGATTTTCTCTTGAAAATAATGTCGATAACAGGATTTTTAATAGAAAATATTGTCGATAACAGGATTTTCTATAAAAATAATGCCGATAAAAAGACCTTCTATAGAAAATATAGTCGATAACAAGACCTTCTATAGAAAATATAGTCGATAACAAGATTTTCTTTATAAAATATTGTCGATAGCAGGATATTCTATAAGAATTATTTTCGATAACAGGATTTTCTATAGAATATGTTGTCGATAACAAGATTTTCTATAGAAAATACAGTCGATTACAAGATTTCCTTTAGAAAATATTGTCGATAACAAGATTTCCTTTAGAAAATATTGTCGATAACAGGATTTTCTATAGAAAATAAAGTCGATAACAGGATTTACTATGGAAAATTGTGTCGATAACAATATTTTCTATAAAAATATTGTCGATAACAAATTTTTTTTTGGAAAATACTATCGATAACATGATTTTCTATTGAAAGTACAGTCGATAACAATATTTTCTATAGAAAATACTACCGATAACAATTTTTTCTATAGAAAATACTACCGATAACAATTTTTTCTATAGAAAATACTGTCAATAGCAAACTTTTCTATGGAAAATAGTACCGATAACCATATTTTCTATAGAAAATATTGTCGATAACCATATTTTCTGTAAAAGATATTGTCGATAACCATACTTTCTATAGAAAATTTTGTCGATAACCATATTTTCTATAGAAAATATTGACGAAAGCCATATTTTCTACAGAAAATACTGTCGATAACACTTTTTTCTATGGAAAATAATACCGATAACCATATTTTCTATGGAAAATATTGTCGATAACCATATTTTCTGTAGAAAATATTCTCGATAACAAAATTTTCTATAAAAATGTTTTCAATAGCCGTATTTTCTATAGATATCATTATCGATAACAGCATTTCCTATAAATAATATAATCGATAACATCATTTTCTTGAGAAAATTTTTTCGATTACAATACTTTCTGTGGAAAATATTGCCGACGGTAAAAACTTTTTTTAACATTCAGGCATGTCACAAAAGTTTTACGAAATCGATTTATTTCACCTTTTCCAAATCGTTACGATTTGCTTTTGCTTCTTCAGCACTCGTACGTTTTGACTAATCCGGAAAAAAAATCATTTCACATTTTTGAAATAAAAATATGGTAACTCCATGAAAAAAACAATCGTAAACAAATTATTGACAATTAAAAAAGGAGTTTAAATTGTTTTTTATAATATAAACACCAAAAGTAAAAATGCCAGGGGCTTCAATACTTGCTGTAATGGATGAAGAAATAAATCAGCGGTCTACTGAAAAAATTCGTCGCCGGACATTGAGGAACGCATCAGATCCTTTATCTCACTCAAATGCAGAGTAAGGATCCACCAGCAATGAGTTATTTTCAAATTTATTTTAATAATAATTTATTTCTACAGATTTATAACTTATTATCGGCTAAATAAAGAAGCTTTTGTTTTAGTTTTGGAAAAAATTGGAACAACTCTAGTTTAGTAAAAACTCTTAGATTTTTTCGAAATTTTTTCCAGAGGTAGGTATTTTTACCTGATCCCGGGAAACTATTTTTTTCTTGGGGGACGGACCCGGGACCCCAGATTTTTGACCCGAAAGTCCGGGATCAAGACTCCGCCTGGACCCGGACCCACTTACCCGATATAGACAATATGGGTATCGATTGAAAGCTTATGAAAATACCATGATGGGGTAAGATGTTACGGAATAGGAATTTAAGTGGGGCAAGACAATTTTTTTAAAATCAATATGAAGATGGTGACAGAAATTCTTGGTTATTGGGGGATTCTGGTTATGGATTGGAACCATTCCTAATGACCCCATATAGGGATGTTAGTGTAGGAACAAAGGAGCACAAATTTAACAAAAAACATACCCTAGCGCGTAACATAATTGAACGTACAATTGGTGTACTTAAAAGCCGTTTTAGGTGTTTGCAAGGAATTCTTGTTTATACACCAAAGAAAACAATAAAAATTATAAATGTTAGCTGTGCTTTACATAACATTTGTAGGGAATATTTATTTTTTTTTATTTTTTACGTTAAAATCACTAAACATTTCAATTTCACCCTGCTTTTTGAAAGTGATATCAAAACGCAAAATTTTTGCGTTTTCCGTTTTTTAGAGAAGCTAAAACCGTTTTCGTTTTCACTCTTGAACGATTTTACATTCTGTGACATGCCTGATTATTTCTCAACATTTTTACCACAAATCTCCCAACCCAATTTCAAACGCCACCTCAGGGTCAAATAATTTTCTACAAAAAACTTAACAATATTTATTCAATTATTTTTTCTTCTTCTTCTTTAAATTAAATATTTAACAACACTTTAGTTTCATTAACGTTTACCGAAAGCACCGCCACCATAAAGGCCACCATAACCGGGATAGCCACCGTACGCAGAGCCACCGCCATAACCATTATAGCCACTGTAACTGTTGTAGGCATTGTAGCCATTGTAACCGCCATAACCTGCCAGTCCATAACCACCACCATAACCGCCATAACCAGGATAACCACCATAACCTACGGGACCAGGATAGGCACCAAAACCGGGATATGCGCTACCAAACTGTCCATAGGCATTCGAACTGGAACTGCTGCTAAACGAATTGCTCTGGCCATAGGAGCCATAATAACCCCGTCCTCCTCCACCAATTAATGGGGGAGCAAATACAGGCGCTCCACCCAAACCAAAACTGCGTCCCTCCGCCTTCGGTTGCTGTTGAGCCCGGCTGAGTTGGGAAATTACGGCCAAGGCCACACATACAATGATAATCTGGAAACAGAAAATTTAGAATAAAATATTTTAAGA